GAGGAGATTGGATTTATACCCCGCCCTTCACTACCCAAAGGTGTCTCAGAGCATAGCATAGCATAACATAGCATAACATATAACATAACATAACATAACAACATAACATAACATAACAACATAACATAACATAATAACATAACAACATAACATAACATAACAACATAACAACACAACAGTTAAGTGTGAAGAATTATTCTATTCTGGAGCCTTAGAAAAGGTTAAAAGGGGCTGGTAAAAGTTACAGAAGTGCAAAGCTAGATTTGCACATAAACACCTAATCATAACATATAACATAACAACATATCATAACATAACATAACATAACATAACATAACATAACATAACATAACATAACATAACACTTAAGTGTGAAGAATTATTCTATTCTGGAGCCTTAGAAAAGGTTAAAAGTGGGCTGGTAAAAGTTATAGAAGTGCAAAGCTAGATTTGCACATAAACACCTAAGTTTCTAGTCCTCAGACTCATAGATACCTTGGGGACCCTGACGGGGTGGAAAAGTAGCATAAAAAGTATTCAAATAAACAAACAAGCCAATCTCTTTACCAGCATTCCTCTGGGCTACTGAAAAAGGACCACTTCTCTCCCAGTTAAATATGCTTCCTCGGCATAACCGAAGTGGTTCTTAACTTTGGTGACCACACGAGTAGCTATTTATATATTTTTTTCGTAAGACTCCCTGAGAAATACTGCCAAATCTAGTTCTTTTTTGGCTTGCCTTAAATTTCCCCTGCTCTTTTATCTCAATGACATCGGATTTCACCTGCCAACCGATGCTTCATTAGCAGGTCCAATCAAGATGTCTGGGCTCACAACCCTGACCCTGGATAGCCCAGGGCCAGCCCGATCTCGTCAGATCTCGGAAGCTAAGCAGGGTCGGCCCTGGCAAGTAATTGGAAGGGAGACCTCCAAGGAATACCAGCAGTTGGGAGGCGGGGGCAGGCTTTATTCAGCCACCGCTCTGAATGTCCTCCAGGCCCCCAGAAGGGTCAGTCACCAGAGGTCGCCATGACTTCCAGGTGCACACACACTCACAGTGTACACACACAAAAAATACCAACCCCCTCCCCCCAGATGGCTGAGCACACAGAACCATAGCTTGGGAAGAAATAGAAAGACAGCTGCTTGTCACACCCCAGAAGACCGTCCCCGAATAGAAGGCACACTCTGATCAGGAGAAGGGGAATAACGAAGATGGAGCTTGAGATGACCAAGGCCATCCAGTCAAGCAGCATAAATTCAAAGGAAGCGACAAAGGAATCACAGGCACTGGCCAATCAGACCTTTCTTCCATAAACGTGATGCTCAAGCACACCAAACACAAAGCAAAAAGCCCCGTATTAGCAGATGACTCCCATGAATCCCTCCAGGGCTCTGATCCAGCCAGTGCAGTGTAGTGGACCGAGTGCAGGACCACGATCTGGGAGACTCAGGTTCGAATCCCGCTCTGCCATGGAAAGCTCAACAGGCGATCGTGGGTCGCTCACACACTCTCAACCTACCTCATAGGGTGTTGTGAGGATAAAATGGTGGAGACAGGGGTCATTTCCTGCAGGAGCGCACAGGAGCGGAGCTCCTGCAGTAAAGAGCCCAGGGGGCAGGCACATGCAACAAGCCCCACTCCCTGCTCCCAGCAGCCCTCAGTCAGAGAAAGAAGCTGCCAGGTAAGTTGCAGAGCCCCCCCCCCACGATCC